CTCCTTCATCTCTGCCATGATTGCATTGAGAACCTCACCCATATCAATTGATGTTCCCATGCTTTTTCACACTCCCTCTAATACAAAGTGAGTATAATCACTATGTGACCTCTCAACAAAGGAGTCACAAAAGGTGCAGGTGACTCTATCACAGCTCTATAGTACTCCTCTCCATAATTCCTCACAAGAAAATCTCTCCATATCCTCTTCTGTCTATATACTGTTCTAATCTCTACATAAGTGCTGAATCGAACCGGGACAGGTGGTTCGCGATTCAAATCCATGAAACAATCAGTATAGAATGTATATAGTACAATCCCAAGTCTCTCCATAAGTAACTATTGGAAGAATCAGTGGCACTCTTGACTCCATCACTCTAGTCATAAAATCTGCACCCCAACAAGCCACAAGGTACATCCGAAAATGATGTTTCTCCATGCAACGAAGGTGAATATCGAATAGGTTAGGAATTGGCCAGTGCGGTACTGGATTCCTGTCAATCCCGTCCATATCTGCAAAAACACAATGCCCCCCTTCCACCTCTCTCTACATGTAGATGAATGACCTCTGCCAGCCTCTATACACTCTCAAGACTACACTCCATCATCACTCACTTGCTATTCCATGAGGGGTAATCCACACTCAAGGAAAGAGCAAGGTCGCTCTGATACCATTGTAACACTAGGGTTTAGAGAGAAGTTCACTCGAAGATAGAAACGTAAACTCTGAAGATGAGAGATACCAACAATGGTTCTCCTCTCCCTTATATAGCTCTCACCAACAAGTACAAGGTGATAAGATCTAATCCCCACCATCCATACCACTCCTAGTGGATGGATGACGTGGCGGATAACCCTAACAAGCACACGGATCGCTGACGTGGCGCACCCAACTAACACACTAACTAACACACTCAATCCTTACCTACAAGCACACGGATTGCTGACGTGGCACTGTCAACTAACACATCCACTCTGTACCTACCAAGTGCGCGGATCGCTGACGTGGCAGCTATGACTAGTGCACACTAAAGTATCTACATCAATATTCAGAGTAACCTCTACTTTAGTTCTAACTAACTAAAGATGGTTACACGGTAGAATGAAATTATCATATGACTGTACGGAAGGAGTTAGCCATTGTGTTGCCAATCAAACATTGGAATCATTATTAGGATGATAAGTCATGACATAGCCATTGCAGGTCATGTGACAGTGAAGAAAACTGTGGAGAGCATACAACGAGTGTAATATTGGCCCAAAATACGTAAGGATGTATGGTCTTATGTTCAAAATTGTGTAGTTTGTCAACAAAACAAGGTAAGTAACCAGAAACTAAAGGGTTTATTATAGCCTCTTACTATTTTTGAACAACGGTGGGAACATGTTATCATGGATCTTGTAGGTGAGTTACCAAAAACTTTGTTAGGATATGATTCAATGGTGGTTTTTGTGGACAAATTATGCAAGATGATTCACATCAAGCCAACCACAAAAAAGTTAAAAGCTCCACAACTAGCTTAATTGTATATAGATGCAATCTTGGTGAATCATGGCTTAAGCAAAGTTTTAATCAAAGATAGAGATATTCACTTCACTCCTTGATTTTGGAAAACTTTGTTTAGTTTTTTCAAAATAAAACTAGCAATGTCAACAGCCTATGATACTTAAACTAATGTACAAACGAAAAGACAAATAGAACCATAAAGGATATACTACGAGCATTCATATTAGAAAAGCAAGAAGAGTGGGACAACCTTTTGCCACTTGTGGATGCATATAACAATTCATGTTAATGTATCCACAAAAGAGTCTCCATTTTACCTCATGTTTGGAGCTCATCCTATAACTTCTTGAAGTTTGATACGACTTGCGAAAGGATAGGAGTTTTCGACCAAAGTTGTAGCAGTCAACGAGTTTATGGAGCATATTCACCGAGGATTACATCAGGCTAAGGAAAAGTTTATGGTAGCTCAATATCGGCAAAAACAACATGTCGATGCTCATCATAAAGAAGTGGTTTTTGAGGTAGAATATCATGTTTGGTCATCTACAATGAGTTTGTCTTTTATATGAACACCAAAGTTGAATTATATGTTCATTAAAACAATTTTTATTTTGAAGCGTGTTGGTGAAGTGTGATACAAGTTGGAACTTCCGTCACATATGAAAATATATCCAGTATTTCATGTGTCACGATTGCAAAACATGTACCACGACCAAAACAATTCACCAACCAACAAACACCACATCCTCTTCCAACCTTCATAGTAGATCATGAGGAGCTTGAGGTAGAAAAGATACTCAAGAAACGTATTCGAGGTCATAAATATCACAAAGTATAGTATTTAATTTTATGGAAAGTCTATTCATCACACAAATCAACTTGGAAACTAGTTAAAAATTTAACAAATGCACCTTTGATAGTTCAAGAGTTTGAACTTAAGATGCAACGAGAACGTTGCATCTTAAATGGAAGAAGGTTTGTAACCATCTTTAGTTAGTTAAAACTAAAGTAGAAGTTATTCTAAATGTTGATATATATACTTTAGCGTGCACTAATCATAATTTTCACGTCAACAATCCGCGCGCTTAGTAGGTAGATAGTAGATGTGTTAGTTCACAATTTCACGTCAGCCATCCGTATGTTTGTTATGTAAGGATTGAGTGTGTTAGTTTGGAGCGCCATATCAGCAATATGTTTGCTTGTTAGGGCTATCTATCACGTCATCCATCTACTAGGAGTGGTATGGATGATGGGAATAAGATCTTATCTCCTTGTTGATGAGAGTTATATAAGGGAGAAAAGAACCATTGTTGATATCTCTCATCTTTAGAATTTACGTTTCCATCTTCGAGTGAACTTCTTTTTAAATCTAATCTTACATAAACTCTCTTTGTGGAAGATAATCAAAACATTTTTTCTCATGTGATCTAGTGAGTTGTGACACAACTTTAGAGATGTGATAGCATATGTCAATTCAAAGATTGTTATCTATTTTGAAATATATAGATTTTTCAACCTTGGATTACTCAGGAGAATCTAGATCTCATCCACCACACTCAACATCACAATGTTGGTTTTCCATTACAACCCTTTCAAGTTCAATTCTCCAAATGAAATCAAAATCTTAGTAAGTTTTTAGTGCAGCACATCTCTAGTGTGCGTTGCACATTGGTCAAGGTACAAATTACCCCATTAAATATTTGAATCTTAATAAACCCAATGCCAATAATTTTGCAATGTTCATCATATCACATAAACTTTGGAACTATTGACAAAATGAAAGATTTAAAGAACTTTTCAATGTAACAAATGTGATTAGACCAAACTAAATGCAAAATCCATACATCAATTTCAATATGGAAGGAATTAGAAGTCCAAAAATCATAATTGAAATACTCAATTATAACCACGCCTGTCTAGTATTTATTGGTTGCCTTACTACAAGAATTTTTGCAAATGTGATCAAATTTGCTTTATTTTCAGCACTTGATCATCTTATCATTTCTAGACTTAGATCTAGACCTAGATTTGATCTTGGCCTTTTTTTTTACTTCTTTTTTAATAGGTGTTTAATATATGTAAAGATTATCAAGACGGTAAATAATGAAATGGATTGATGGGAAGAGGTACGTATAGTCGTCAACAGCTTCTATGGCATGTCGTTGGTCAATAGGGTAGTAACATTTTCATTATCAATGATGGTCTCCTTATCCTGGTTCAGCAACACCCGTGACATGGACTTATATGAAACCGACAGAAAATTCAACAACTGAATTGTTTTCAACTCATCATCCGAATCTTCTCTCCAAGGTTCTCAAGATCCACAACCGAATCATTGAAATCATCTACATGGTCTATAATCTTAGTACCTTCCACTTTCCTCAAGATAGTGAGCTTCAAAGATGTGTACAACCAATTTGAGAACACTTTCTAATGATATTTCTCATGCAATGCCACAAACAAATCTGTTACTACGGCTCTTCTTGCTTGAAGACATAAGGATTGAGATACAATGAATGTCATTCCAATCATCATCTAGTCGTAGAGTTGTGGCTTAAGCACCTTGTTCAAGTCCATGGCACCAAGTACACTAGTGAATTTTTCTCCGACAAGACATAATTATTCCGTTCATCAAATTTTGTCACCTCAAACCATGGAACTTCAAGCTTACTCATCGTTTTTTGTCTTTTCTCCTCCCAAAATGAAAGCTGGCTAGTAATATATTCCTCTTTACTTGATGCACTTGAGATCTCTCAAAATGTTCATTCTCAAAGAATTGTCTCTAATATCAACTGATAAGTGAACTTTTCACGCTTTCAGCATAGGTTGCTGATAGATAGATCAAAGGATTCAATTCACGTAAATAGCGAGAAGATAATCACTTTGAACACTAAATAGATTTGCAAACTACTAGATCATTAGAGTACAAACGTATAATGCTATGAGTAGCGTGGCCACAGAACTAAGCAACCCTATTGCGGGAGACAGATGAGCTACTTAAACAGCAGCGAAAACGATCAACAGAACTATCGGTTGTAGATTTCACCTTTTTAAAGATTTTAATATTGCCTAATCTTTTACCAGAACGTTTATCCGATCGAAAAAACTTCCTCCATAGTCCGAAACAATGTCCTCATTTAACTTCCCGTAACCCAAGTAATATCTTATGAACACAAAGATATTAAGTTTTATTTTCAGTTATTTCCAATCTTTTCCTTTATCCGCTTGGCCCCCTCCTGTTCTGCTTTAGTAGCAGGGAATTGACGAACGGGAGACACGCATGGCATGATCCTTTGTAGGAAATTGGGTGCTAGAGAGAGGTTGACTCGTCATACACAAAAAAAAGGAGCGTCAACGGAAAGCTCATTTTCAGTGGGACATCTCAATCCTCGACAGGTGGATATGCTAACACTGCATACATACATTCAGCTCTATCATGCTTTCCAAAGGCTGTGGGGCTCTTTTGATCACGAGAGTTGAGCGAGGATGTTGGTATGACAGCATCAGCTGTCGCTGTCGTGGGTCTTTCTTACCACCTGCACAGACAGGTATGATCATCCTCACTCACTCAATCAGGCTCAGGGAATGATAGATATATATGCTGAAGTATTGTGATTCGCCACTTTGTAACAGTACGTCGGATGATGACTCACACGATTTATTAACAAGGCCACGCCAAAGCCCTGCAGAGTGTTGTAGCCGTAAACACTCTGTACTATTGTACACGTCCTAGCTCTCTGCGACGAGCATCATCCATCATCCAGGCTCGTCCTTTCGTTCCATCTTTCGTCCATGGACACAGTTCAGGTCTGTTCAGTTCAATTCATTCAGCCGAGTTTCACCACGCTCGCTCTTGTGCCATCGTGCCGAGAGAGATTTTGCAGATATCGGCGTCTATGGAGCTAATTCTACGGAGAATGACAATTTCTTGACCTGCAGACAGTGGCGCTTATGATGGATGAATCAGACACGCATGTTCCATCATGTGCCGGTCAAAGTGAGTATGTGTTGCCTGCCAGTTGATGCAGATGAGCAGATACCCCAGGAGTGAGCATTTTATGAGCTTCAGTCAACCTCGCCTGCCTGCACTACAAGAAGAGAAGCGGCAAAATTTCTATTGCCAGCAAAAGTGTGCAGACTCAAATGATCACAGAGATTACAAAAACATTTTTATTGAGCACCTTGGATGTGGTTCGGTCCAGTGTTGAAACTTTCATGGACTGAAGACAAGCACAATTGCGTTTCTGAATGTGCTACCAATATTCAATTGCAGAAATTCATTCTTCCAAACCTTGATTGACTCTGCATTGCTGAGGTAGTCCGGTTGGGTGATCAGTTAGTTAGTCCACAAACTGCCAATCCAAGCATCCCAAAAGTGCACAAACTAGTGTAATAGCGGCGCATGTCTATTAAAATGACAGGCCTGCACCGCACCACGCTCTACATCCTGACAGAGGATATACAACAGAGTGCTCCATGAATGAACGAACCAACGAACGAACGAACTCACAACAACCATTCATGAGCCCTTCTGTTGGCCCATACGGCACACGGTGAGCAAGTGTACAACGCAAGGTTGTTCAATCCATGCAAAGAGTCTTCCCTGTGTTCTCATAGAGTAGTGTGTACGCAGTCATCGTACGAAAATACGTTCATCTTACTAACTGTGTCGCTACTTAGCAACAGTACAAGGTTTGGTAGTTTCCGTGTATGAAATCCAGATTCTCGTACAGAGAGGTGTCATTACTCACATCTGGAGGATTGAAGACAAAACTCTTTGAGTTTCATGCCCTTGTAATGGATTGCATTTGAAAGTATGTACTTGTATCCGAGGCATACATAAGTCATGACATATTTGACGAGAGTTGGTGGAGGCTGTGGCACGTTAGACAGCAGACACTACCACTACTGTATTAGTTGAAATTTGTATCCTTACAGACGCTCATGCGTGCGCAAAACAACGTAACGCTGTGGAAAAGTTCGAGATCGAATAGGTATGATGTAAAGTAATGTGTAGGCTTAGCATATGACGTGATACTTATGAGCCGTTTTTCAAGAGTTTCACCGATCTTAGTACGTCGTACGATGATGTTCAAAGCCAACTTTCTGTAAATGGTTTGATCGACAAAGAATAACGTCGACAGGGAAAAATCGAGCCCTGCATTCGGCACGCATCCTTCCCTTCGAGTGTCCAGCAATTGCTGCCGAACAGGCGGGAACATTAATTTGCTTCACCATGGAAGTTGAGCTCGTTCCGAGCCGTCCAGGTCTAGCACCTCGCTCAGCGATGCAATGAACGTAACATACTCAATGCCAATGCCAATGCCAGTAGTTAAAATATTCATGTTCACAATAATTGAAGTTGCAACAGAAACAGTAGGCCTTCATCTCGTGACTGGAACCAGTCAAGCTTCAGTTCCCCACTTGAATGAATTGAATGAGCCGAACAGAGGTAAACTGGACGAGGGAAGTTAACGAATGACATCTCTGCTGTAATAGGAAGGTGACAACTGCTTTGGAAAATTAGTAGCTGCTCGGTAGGTAAGAGCAACGACCATCAGATCAGTAAGATATCTATTCTACCATTACGGTTCTGGAAAAAGCAAATCGTTTCAAACCCATTACAGTAAACCGACTTCCTTGAGATCATCAACGTCGTTACGTCTAGTTTTGTATTGTTTTGTTCTCTTTTGTTATAACTCAATCCCGCAGAACGTACCAACTGTATCTGAACGGGCACTTGTACATAGCATGATGTTCTTTGTCAGCGAAAGCTAACTAGATGTCACATGACATCTAGTTTGCTTCAAATGATGCAACAGAGAAGTCTAGGGTTAGAAAGATGAAGCTATTGCTCCTCACCTGAAGTTCAGATGAACATATCAACGAGAGCTGATTTGAGGCTACAATTTTGAGAAAGCAGGAATCTTAAATGTTGATCTATAAAGGTTGTATGCCAGAAAGCTCAGGTGACTAACTGCGTTACATGAGGAAGCAGAGGACCCACGGGAGACTAGACTGGCTGCGAATGCAACTTTGGAGCAATCAGTGAGATATATATTAGTACTATACTCATAGCACTCGGCTCACGGGCAATCCTTTTGTAGACGTAAATATCTTCTTCAGACCTCGGTTAGGTAAACGAGGAGGAAGGCTACTGAACATGCATGGAAAATGCAAAGTAAATTCAAAGGACTGTAAATTCGAATGTCGTTAACCTTTTGAACTGGGCATACGATCTTCCTCAAGCTTAGACTTGGGGTGGTGTTGTGGTACATCTGCACAAATATTGGGATATAAAGTAGATAAACAAATCACTCATTGTTATGACTTATATCACATGTCTAAAGTTGAAGGAGGTACTCACCTGAGAAACGAAAAAAAAATGTCATAATATCTTTGTACGTGATCTATAAGAGTCGTTGTTCATTTGTGTCTCGTTCCGAATCTGGCCGTTCCGAAACACTTTTGGTTCTCAAAAAAAGTGCATGCAGTAGTAAATTTCTAGAGGTCACAGCGTGATCGGCAGAATAGGTAGACTCGTGCGGAATGTAGAAAATGAACCATTTTGCTTTCTGTTATTGGAGACAGGCTTTAGTTTCCGTGGCCAGCTCGCCACCCTCTCCCTTTAGCTGCTCTTCAGTTCCAGCATGCATCACCTGATGTGGGGGCGGGGGTCCTTCCCATCCTTTGCCTTGCAGGTCTTTGTTTTTAGTCTGTTTCGAGCGCGTACTGTGATAAGCATACATTTGCCCTTTCATTGTTTGCTCTACCATAAAACCCTCCCTCGGTCCGATCCTCGAACGACTTGTGGGTTCGATTCTCCGTGTGCCGGTCAACATATCCTTAGCCTAAGGGCTTTTAGAGCATGGCTTTCCGATATAATGCCAACAAAGAGAGTGAGTGAGTGTGTGTGACAGTGAGGAAGTGCCTGACATCTATCTATACTTTAAGTCTACTGTCCTGCTGATCATTTCAAAATGGCCTTACTTCCCTCCCGCCGATTCGGGAACAATCGCCTGGCTTTCTCTCTCTCTCTCTCTCCCTCTCTCTCTCTCTATTCCTCTTCCTGCAATGTCAAAAATCTTTCACATCTTCCTCACCCACTCTTCACGAGGCATCATCTGAAAATGTAACCATGAGACGACTGACTCACAGTTGGATTATCTTCTCGAGGATTCACACTCGTGTGTGTCAGTCCGAAGCTGGCTCGGGAGTCGGGGCTATCCATCCAATTATCCAGAAAGAAAAGAGTAATTCGCCCAATGAACCCGGACCGATACTCCGACTAGATTCGTCCAAACAAGCATCCTCGAAACAAAAGGTAACACCCAGCTCTCAGGAAGTATCAAGGTTTTTCCACCCGGATCGATCAAATCTCCCGATCGCTCGCTCTATTGGGCTGTGTCGGACTCTTGGTCAACTTCGACCCCGTGCGGTGCGGTGCGGTGCAGTGCGGCTCGAGTGTCGTTCGTTCAACCTCTTGGTGTGTGTGCGACGGTTCCATCGAATTCCTACGAGCGCATGGATTTCACGGTAAACAGGGCGAGATAAAATTCGGCAAAGAAGATCTTGCGATCGAGACCCCGTCGATCGGAACCCGAGGGTAGGGTCGAGGTGACACACATAGACAGACATGTACTCTCGTAGGGACACATTCGAGCAGTTCGTGGATCCAGATCGTCGCTAAAAAGCCGCACTTGTCGTTGTGACGCATTAAGGCGCGGTACGGCCGGCCCAGGTCTTGCCAGTCTGGGCGAGCGAGCGAGCGAGAGAGAGGCGCTTTGTCCCTCTGCACCCACCGCACCGTATACGACGCTCGTTGCCTCTGGCACGCACGCGGTAACGCAGTTACCGTGATTTCTTCTATACATGGTCAGTATCATAGGTTCCCGGCTTCGTCCTCTACGTGTTGGCCAGTGATGTGGAGGAGTACCGTACACCTGTCTGGCCCTGCTGCCATGCTGGCACCCGGTACGCGATTTCGCCTTTACTTTCGTCCTCACTCGGTTCCGACCGCGTCGAAACCACGTACGGCTAAGCTGCTCAGTCTGGGGATGCAGATCTAGGCAGCAGGGTTCGATTCGAAGGATTGAAGGATGGATTGATTCATTGATTGATTGGCTTCCGGTTTGATCAAATCTGGAAATTTTGACCTGTCTCACTGACAAGGTTTCCATTTCGTCGTGGCTGGCTGGCTGGCTGGCTATGTGGATGTATGTGTACCGAGTAAGTATCCGATTATGCATCTGAATCAGAATCAGGATCAGATGTTCCCTCTCATTCTTGATTGTAATGTTGATTGTAATCTGCTGGAACAGGTGAGCCTCAAGTTGAGGCTCACCTGTTCCAGCAGACTGAGGGTTGAGGTCCTCAACCCGTTGCAACATTCGCTCATGCATGGCTCAGAGAATGTCATTATATTTCGGCGAGCTTAGCGTGTGTTGGAAAACCATGAATGCTGGCTTGCTCGAGGACGGATGTGGTAAGGTTGCAACGTAAAGATGGAAGATTTGTCCACAGAAATTCATCTCATCATCTGAAAAGAAGCGTGCGGTGTTTATTAAGGGAATGAAAGAACGAACGAACTCAGTGGCGTAGTTGGTGAGGTGAGCCAGGCCGTGGTGAACCAAATGACGGATCGATGCTACAACTTCCTTCAGCCAGCATTGACGTAGGATCTCGAGGATAAGAAGTTTTTATCGGGGCCAAACAGACCGAAAGGCAAGTTCTTTATCACCTGATCACATGCGGAACTATCTCTTTGTTTACCGCAAGCAAATCAGGCAACCATAGATGATGATGCGTAGATGAAATCACAAAGTACATGTATCGCGTTTTCACTTTCCCGAGGGGCAGACGCAGATTTGTCAAACTTTTAGCTTCTTGAGCTAGGGCCAGCCTGAGCTCGTCTGGTGAGGGTGGGGTGGGATGGGGTTATGCACTTTCCACTAAACTGCCACATTGCCTAGGAAGTTGAGGGGAGCGGAGGTCGTTGTAATGCGGGTATAAGAGCATCTGCATAGCTAAAAGCGAGGGCATCTCAATGCAATAATGAGGGAGCTTTTAAAACCACTTTGAACAGGAACATCTCAACAACCCGTAGCCAGGAGCCCCACAACGTCAAAGCTGATGCCCCCGAGTCACGGTCGACGACTTTTGTTAGCGTGAAATTCGTCGTTTACGGAAGTTGCTAAAATACTATACTTGTCGAAATCGGACAACAGCAGCATACGGAGTTCGCCACCAGACTAATAATGAAGAATTGCTGTCAAGAACAGCTTGTTATTAGAAAGTCCTGCTTGTCTCGAGCAAACATGACGACAGCCTGTGAGAACTGCGTCCCACTGCCACTCTCCACTGAATCTCCATCGCATTAATGCAGAACATGGTATATGACAGTGTTGTATCTTCTGATCGGAAGATGCGTAGCTACCGAATTCGATCCCTACAATCTCTTGGCCGTGAAGGACAAAAGATGTGAATACAGGGGTTTTTTAGAATTGAGCCCCTCTGCAAAAACTCCTTTTATACACACCCCGGGTAAATGAAAGTAATCGCCATCAAGTCAGAAGTTAAGAAAAAGTCATCGTGAAATCCATTCCACACGTAAATATCTGCTCGTCTATATCTCGTCACCTCCGCGCTGTCTTGGGCCCACTCTCTGCACAAATGACGACAGTGAGTACAGTACACAGTCCGTCCAGCTATCGTGCTCGTCAAATGAATGTTGAGCTGAAGGCCGTCCCCGATTAATTTTGTCGTGGATCCCTCGCCTCCTCAAAACCGTACCTTCGGTAATATCTCGAGAGTATGACTATTGAGGGCCGCTTAGATTGTACATGTTGAGCGAATTCAAGATTTTCTCGGAGTAGTTTGATTGAGAATAGAATATTCAAAAGTTTCATTGCTTTTCGTCCAAAACCTGGAATTCTCCTTTTTGTACCCTGTACTTTGATTTTACACAAAACCATAAAATTTCAATAAGAATATTGAAATTTTACCTGAACTGAAATCAAATATAATTTGATGTACTCTTCCGTAACGTGGTATTTTTTAAAACCTGTGGTATTGGACAAAGCCGTAAAAATCTCTAGTTTATAAAATTGAAATTATGAGAAGAAATTTATTTCATAATCTTGATATAGAGTCGGAGTTAGTAACAAAAAATTATTATGTTTTAGGTTATGGTATCTAGTAGCCAGTGAATTTTTGCTAGCTTAAATTTTTCTTACTATGAACTAATCATTGAAAAAGATAAAAAATTCTCAAGCTCTTAATATCAAAAAATATAATTGTACATATATAGATGATAGTTAGGAAAAATTTGATCATTATATATTTAACCATTTTTTAATAGCAGATATTGGACAATCATGAAATTGTTGATTAGACTCAAACACCACGTGATAAGATTAATTAGAATCACCTATCAGAATATCATCAAAATTATAAAGTAAATCTTATATGAAATATGCATTATGAGCTAATTCATCTATTATTGAAAATCATGATGATGACATTGCGTTGATTTTGGAAGAAATTGAAATTTAGTCTTGTACAAAAATTCAAAATTTCAATAAGCTTGAATAAAATATCATAATGGAACATGTAATTGTCGATGAATAACAATATGTATATTTAAGGAAACTTTTAATGAATCAAATTTGATTAATAGCAAATAGATGTACAAGCTCAAAGAAAGTCTAACAATAATCAAAATAGAATCTTCAATGCTAGGTTGTTGAATAGAAGTTTCACCAAAAGAAAATTGTGAATTATAACAAAAAAATTTCATTTGAAACAAAGTATGTTACAATTTGATTGTTACGTCATTTTGTTGCAAAATTCAATCTAATTATGAATTTGATGGATTACAATCTTATTTATGAATCTTTGAAGCAAAAAATTTACATGACATCTACTTTGAGAGGAGATATCAAAGGAAAGTTAAATTGTACATTATTGAAATTAATAAATGGATGAAAAAAATCATGTGCAATGCTATGCAAAAATTTTATGAATTTATGAAAGCAAAATATTTTCACAAAATTTATTTGATTCACGTGTATACATAAAAAAACTAAATAATGAGATGTTTATTTTTATTATTCTAGTATTTTATGTGAATGACATGCTCATTTTGGAAAGAATCAATGTGATGTTGATAGATGCAAGAATCAATTTAAATCTTCATATAAGATAAATTATGTACATAAATTCAAAACTATATTGAAAATATATATTCATAGCAATTTGAAAACTAAAATATTTTGGTTGAATCAAATCAAGTACATTTAATAATTGCTTGACAAGTTTAACATAACATAATCTTAAGTAATATGGATTCATATAATATCATATTTCAATTTTTTGCATTTCAATATCTAATTGATGTCATTGAAGAGCAAAAAATATTATCAATTTCTTATGACAAACTATGTCTAGTATCATTTATTTGATTGGAATCACTGATGTATTAACTCAAGACATCTCAAAATTGGTGATCTACAAGCTACCCTCATAAAGTAAACTCCAAGCAGCAGAATAGCGTAAGAATGAAATGATTATATATGACACTTATCCCTTAGAAAAGCAAAAAATATTTTGAGTTATATTTCAAATTTTTTGTAATTCAATGTATAATCGATGTCATTGAAAAGCAAAAGATGTTATCAATTTTTTATGACAAAGTTGTGAGTAGTATCATGTATTTGATCATATGCATAAGATTTCATATTGCTTCAGTTATAAATAAGACGAGCAGATCCGAATCTAGAAAGTTTGCATTGACATGTAAATTGAAATTTTAAGTACATGAGATTAGACTGATTTGTTTAATGTCATATTAAATAATTCTAAATTTTTGCTATACAACATAAATGGTGACTATGAACAAGATATAAATAGATTAAAATTTGAAACTCATTACGTGTTTATACTTGATGATTGATGTATCAATTCAAAATCTACTTTACAAAAGTACAAAACCCAATCTATAAAGTAAATTCAATGTGTATCGGTAGCAAAACTAACAATTATATTATTGATTGAATGGATGTATTGGATTGAAAGCTTGTTAATCTTCATTGTGATAATCAAAATGGGTTAGATCTTGCGCAAATCAAATGATGTACAACATAATGAAACACATTGACATTAGTAATCAATTTAATAA